AAAGAAAAAAATCTAATGGCGTTAGATCAAGGCTCCGTGCAGGCCAAGCGTAAGCGTCTCTAGCAATAAATTTTGATCATCCAAACGCTCTGTGTAAATAGTTCCTAACGTCTCTTTGCCAATGAGCGGGAGCGCTATCATTTTGAAACCAAAATATTCTTCGTATGTCTAGTTCTACGTTTTCCAGCAGTTCAGGTAAAATATTCTTTAAAAAATTTTGATACATAGGTCCGTTTAAATTTCCTTCAAAAAAATGTGGACCAATGACATGGTTATACTATCCTCAAACATATTTGGCGTTTATGACTTCACACCAATTTGACTCCCATTATAATTCAATAGGCCGTCACAACCGGATGTCTTAAACCCGCTCACCGATACCTACCTGAAAAGACCTTTTCTGGTAAAAGCACAGGGCAGGACTGAGTTTTGCATTTACCGACAACTGCGCCTTTCGAGTTTTTTATTTTAAGTAAAAACAAAGTAACTTTGTACTCAATCATTTTTTATTACAGCACAACTATTTACTTATTAACTACTACTGCTTATTTATTGATCGAAATAGTCACTGTCATCATCACTCGACTCTTCTAAATTAATAATTAACGGTGTTATCAACCGTGCCCTGTACTGGTCTTCTTCTTTTGCGGAATGTCGTACACAATTGGCCCACATTTCGGCAGTTATTTTGGAAGCTTCTTCCCTAATTATTGTCAATTGTTGCACTACTAAATTTTGGTGCCGTATTATTCCTTCTTATATTATTTTTCATTTGCGACCAGATTAGTTCGATGGGGTTAAATATACAATGGTACGGCGGAAGTCTAATCACCCTAAATCCACGATCTCGCGCCATAGCATCTATTTTATATTGTTTCTCAAATTTTCGAGTGTGTAACACTTCTAATAATTGTGTCTTTGTGTAATTTTCTTCAAAGTATAAATCATGTTCTGTTAGGAAATTTTGAAATTTGAAAATTTTAACAAACAAAATTACTCTGAGTCCGGTCCTTCGCGTCTCGACCGTCCCTGGCACGTCGAAAAGGTCTTTTCAGGTAGGTATCGGTGAGCGGGTTTAAGACATCCGGTTGTGACGGCCTATTGAATTATAATGGGAGTCAAATTGGTGTGAAGTCATAAACGCCAAATATGTTTGAGGATAGTATACCAACAATCCCACACCAAGCTTGAACTTTGAAAACTTCTTGGCACTGCTTTTCCTGATATTAATGAGGTTTTGCTGGGCATAGTAATGTGAGTTGTGTCTGTTTACACACCCGTTGTTGGTAAATGTGGCTTCATCCGTGAACAAAACGTTAAATAAAAAATCTTGATTGTCTCGTAATTGAGCCCTCACGAATTCGTAAAACACTAACCGTCGGATAAAATCGCGTTAAATGTTGAAAAATGATGAAATGATGAACCTTTAAGATGTTGAAAACCGAACCCAAACTAATCTCCATTTGTCTTGCAAACTGTCTTTGATTCACGTGGGGATTCTCTGCTACAATTTCAATTAAAGCAGCTTCATTATCCGGTGTTGTTACATTTCGATTTCTTTATTTTTTTTTGAATTGTCCAAATTCTCGTAAATTTTTTTCAAGTTTTCTAAACGCTTGATTTGAAGGAGTTCTGCTATTGGTATATTGCCCGGCGTAGAGACGAACAACAGCATCAAAATTTTTGTCACACTTTCCCAATTTTAATAGCATGTCTGTTTTTTCAGAATTCGAAAATATTTTAAAGCAAACGAAAATTAAAAATATTTGCCTGACAGAAACAATTTGTCATAATTTTGGTTCTGATAATTGCTATCTATGCGTTCATTAATATTTAAAAATAAAAATTTATCAAAGCTGTTTATGAAACGTAATGGGTTGCCTATGCAGAAATATTCAGGTGTGAACAGATAAAATGAACACCCTGTATACTGTATTAGTACGGTCGAAACTGGAATATTGTTCACTAATATTTTTTCCATATTATGCTTATCAATCTACATTGTTGGAAAATGTACAGAGACGATTCCTAAAATTTTTACATTATCAAATTTACTCTCAATATCCCGTGCATCATATTGATCAAAACCAATTATTAATACAATTTGATATACAATCTTTAAGGCAACGAAGAATTATGCAATCAATAGCATTTATTCATAAATTAATTCATGGCGTAATTGATGATATGACAACTTTGAACCACATAAGTTTTATTGTTCCTCGGCAAAATTCTCGTTTTTCAATCTATTTTCAATTACCCCGATGTCGAACTAATTTAATGTTGAAATCACCGATATATATTGCCTGTAAAAATTGTAATGCGATTTGTGAACAGTGTGATATATATGTTGAAAAGTTAGGCTCTATAACTAAAAAATGTACTACAATATTTAAAGGGGTTTTATAAATTATAATTACTTAATTAATTGATGAAAAAACTGTTAGTAATTGTCAGTAATTTAGAGCTTGTTTTCAGATTAGATAACTTGCATGCAATATATATGTATATAGTTACATAAATGTTCATTTAATCGAATTTAATCTAATTTAATTTAATTTAATTTCATTTAATTTTACTTATTTTACTTATTTAATTTAGATATAGTTGTCCTGTAATTGGAGAGATCTGTTGGACAATAAACGTATTTATTTATTTATTTATTTATTTATTATTATGGTGCATTTGACAAATGGTTAATTTCATATTTTTTCGAGGTTTCATACCTTCGAGAGTATGAAAAAGTAGGTCTCCGTCTCAGTTTTCTTGTTAATTGCCTCTTGATAATTTTATGATATACCTAGGTAAACCCCAAAATACTGAACTGAAATGTAAGTGTATTTTGGGAATATCATGTAAATGGCAAAAAGCTAACCAAAATTTGTGTGATTATCCCTATTAACAATTTGATCAGATCATCCCAATATTTAGATGAGTAAACTCTTTATAAATTTTACTCCTGTAAAATATTTAACATACTTCTTGTATTGTAGTTTATTAATTTGTCCTTATTTTTTACTTTACACTTCTAAATTTTTGAAAAAACAATTATACAGCACATTTTACAATTTAACTACTACAAATTCGATAGCTTTGGAATCTAGCATGCGCTTTAAGATTAAATATTAATTTGTATCCTTAAAAAACCTGATAACATTTATCTACATTTACACTTGTGGTAGATAAGGTACGGTGTTCCTGAAATTCTGAGAATAGCATATTTTATTGAATATTATCCATACTGAATATTTGTTCCCTAATAAAAACTTGAATTCTTCATTACAAATTTATATTAAGAAAAACTGAATAGAAACAGTTACATAGCAGGCTCATTTATCTGTAGTTGAATGATATACACTAATTAATTTAACTTATATGGGTTATAAAGAAAATAAAATTCACAGAATCAAATTTTATCATTTATCTAAAAAAATGGATTCATTTAATGGTATTTTAGATGCGAGTAAAGTCCTATCTAAACAACATTAGAACATTTTTTATTTAGTCTTAATATAGCCATCAGTCCACTTGCGGCCCACCACCAGTTTTCAAAAAATTATTATGTAAGTTTATGTGATACTTTATGTGACGGAGTAGAGACAATTAAATGTCGTACGATAGCGAAACGAATTAAGTCCATATGAGTCACATAAAGACACTTACATGAAACACAATATTTTATTTTCAAATATTTAATATTCTTTTGAAGCGATCATTATTTTCTGTCTCCTTGCTTCATTAAAAAAATGCCTTGCATTGATTTATCATGGTTACTATGGTTCAGAGCGACGGTGATTTTCAAATAAACCTATTGTTACGAAGTACCTAACACTCCGCTATGACGCCTGTGGGTTTTCTAGTGCGTGTGAGTAGGTCTGCGGTGACTCATCATCGGTGACGGTGGCACTTGAATAAAGAAGAGTCTGGAAACGGTCCACCGGAAGTGGCGGGATCTTTCCAGAAGAAGCGTACAGCTGCTTAAATAGGGATCACTGTCGGGAACAGTCTAGTCTAGTCTAATCCAGGGGAGTCGATAAATAAGTATGAGCTAAGCTGAGTCAGAATTATTCGCTGTTATATTTTTGCTGTATAGTTAGTCGTAATAGGTATGTATTACTAAGGAATAAATTGTTTTACCCACGTCGATTTTAATTACCGATCAAACGTAACAGTATTCTATTTATACCCCCTACACTGTAAACACCGGTAAAAACGTCCTATAAGTTTCAATTATATTACATTTGAAAATAAAACTTATTGCATGTCGTAGGTAAGATAAAATAAAAATTATGTGATTAAGAATTTCCCCACTTCTTTTAATACGAACGTCTTCAAGAGAGTTAATGCTGATCATGTTCATGAACCTTAACTTAGAGTTGTAACAAATTTTGTTTCGCGAACATTTAAGGTATTTTTTTAATAATCCTGTATAATTTTTTGTGTTAAAAAAATAAAAAATAGCTGGTGAAATACGGAATTCGTTGGCATTCTTAACCCCATTTCAAAAATTACCATAAAAATTCCACATGATAAAAAATAGCAGGAAAAGCTAATTAAACCGAATTAAATATGGATAAAAGCATTTTTGACTCGGCCCAAACATTCCATTCGTTCCGTAATTGAAAATAATGTGCTTTTTAAACCGACGTTAACTTAAGATAAATGATGTCGACGTTAATACGGAGACTAACGGTGTAATGTTTCACAGTCCACTGACAGGAGACAATACCAAACAGTATCACCCAATTATCGAAATGAAAGACCCATATCAGGAGCAATTTGTGGAACAATGATATTAATAATTTCACCCTTCTCATCATAAATTTGCTCTCGTGTCCGAATCTCAAGAGGATTATCCTGTGTTTCAGCCATCACTCCTCATGAATTTCAGACATGCAACGATAATTTCAGCGTGAACATGTTCGATGCGAATAAATTAGCACGAAATGTGCCGATAATGAGGGTTCTGCATGGTAATTAATTAATGAAAAATTCATTACCATTAAGGATATGTACTCTAACACTAGCGGCATTGGCGTTGGACGGCGTACACGTATATAGTCCTGAATCACTTTGTACGGCCTTCTGAATGAGGAGTCGGCTTGTCGTGACTTGGCCCTTTTCAGTGACAAGGCTAATGCCACCCCTGGGAGAGTCAAAGTTGATAACTTGAGCATTGTGAGCCCATAACATGCTGGGTGGGGGCTCCGGGGCGAAACGTACCAAACAAGTTAAGTTTATAGTTGAGCCCATGTTTATAAACAAGTCGGGACCTCCCAGGATCTCTGTAATGGGTTCTGAAACAAAAACAGGCAATTAATTATTTTGACCACTTAAGATAGTTACAATCAGGATTTACATTTTTGGTTTACATTTTCTGGTATCACTTAGAGACAAATGTATATACATTATTTTAATTAACAAATATTCATAAAATTGTGACCAGGATGTAAGTTGTGAGATTTAATCTACATACAACAATGGAAACTACTTATGAAATAGATTTAGTAATTTCAAACCTAATCGCATTTGTCGAAAACGCTGAAACAGGTCAATTTGTATTTTAATTGCTTTTTTTTAGAGCTATGACTTCATCGCATTTGTCGAAAACGCTGAAACAGGTCAATTTGTATTTTATAATTGCTTTTTTTTAGAGCTATGACTTCATATGCATTTTTTTAACACACTGCAGTATTTTTTATGTTACTGGTGGATTGTGTCCTTAAAACCTTTTTGAAAAAAGCCACAGTTTTTGAGATTGTTATATGTATATATTTATGCTCCAATCTAATGATTTACATAATTTAAAAAATAGTTAGAAACATTCCAAAAGTTGCCAATTGTTTCTTGATAAAAAAAAATCCACTAATTTTCAATTTTGTTTTTATTAAAAAAAATTACGTGTTCATGTGATGTTTATGTACAATATTCTTTGGTTATATAAAATGTGTATTTCAAAAACTGTTGAAGATATCATGTAATATTTGTTTTAAAGGTCCTTAAGAGTACTACTCCAAAAATAAACCACAAAATAGAATATTTCATTAAAACAAAATGAGTATGACGGTGACGGCACAGGTGAAAAGTGGATGATGTCTTGAAGAGGTGAAGAAACATAATATAGAAATAGAACTTGAGCTGTTTTCGCGTTTCGTGTTTTCAATAAATACCATTAGTTTTGCAATTACTGCATTTATCCCATAAGTATATATACAGTGTATATAATGTGATAAAAAAAGATGGATTGGAACCAGTTTTTATTTTACTTCCGGAGCGGTAGCTGAAGAAGTATTGTAATCGAGTCCACGACTGATTATTTTATGTTTTCTCGACGTTTCTTGACTTCTAGAGTACGAAAAAAAAAAATCTCCCGCCTCTCTATCGGTCTGTCTGTCTACCGTCTGTCCAGATTTTTATTTGACAGATAGTCTCCTAAACCACCGCTTTTATATGTATGTTAGGAATATCGTGTAGCTGGTAAAACACTAACCAAAATTTACCTAATCATGGTGATGACATCCCCCCAAAATTGTTCGTACTAAGTAATACTTAAATTGTATAGAATGACACAGTAGCTCCTGTAATTGTTCTTTATAAATTTGACTTCAGGTTTTCCCCCTGATATTCATATTTCCGCAAAAAATTGAAATTGTACAGCAACCTTCTCTGCTAGTGTAATAAGAATAAGCAGTGTTGGTACACGGTTACTTTAGTTTATCGCGTAACGTGTTAGCTTTCGCACATGCAATGTGAAAATATCGCACGTCCGAATGTGGCATGGGTTTTTTTTATTTCTTATAGTGTTCCTGTTATTATCGATATTTTTTGGGAAAAGGCCGAGTGTGCTTAATTAATTAATTAGTTCTCTCCTACGAGTCAATGAAATTTTACTTTCTTTTATCACAAATGCATACTTTGATGCCGGCGCTGATATGTGAGCTTTCCAAATCGCGAGATTCCGTGTGCGCGAACATTTGAATCAGTGGTACAGCATCTTCGAGATCATGGTACTTTCAATGTCAAACTCACGATCGTGGCCGTGATTGAACAGAAAGAATACTGCAAGGTGAAGAATAAATTTTGGAACACGTCGAAGAAGAGCTCGACATCAGCACTCGCCGACTTGCAGCTGAAGTTGGAGTTTCACAGTTTGTGTGCATCGTACTTTAAAAGAACAAGCCCACATCCACACCAATAGCATGTTCAAAAACTGCAAGGTTTGGAGCCCGCTGATTGTCCACGTTGTCTAATTTACTGCAAATGGTTGTTACAGCAGTGTCGTGAACGCCCTAACTTTTTAAAATGCATTCTGTTTACGGATTCACTCGCAATACTTTTTTCTACAGTCACACGTTTGTTAAGAAGTACGATTTCAACAACGGTTTTCCATAAATCTGTGGGCCGGTATTAGTTAGATGAAATAGTTAGTTAATGGAAATCAACGAGGTTCCACAACAAGTGGAAGTGGTAGCCGCTACAGTTCGTGGAACTCCCGTGGTTTTTTGCCCATCAACGACCATGTTGCGACGTTCTGAAGCCTGTAATGCTAATCAAGGACAACATTTTCTACATTTCTTGCAAAAAGGTAGTAGCATTCTAAGCTGCTTTTTTTTTTTTGTTTTAATAAACAATATGGAATCGTTGTGGCAAGAATCAAACATCCGTCAGAATAAAAAGTAGATCACGATTACCAAGAAGCATTACCAAAAGTTGGTCCTTCTCAGGGCCACCATTTGTTTCTACAACGAATAATCTTTCGCACTGACATTTAACGATGAATGAATGCATGCATGCATGAAAGAATAATAAGCAGCAAAAAGTCGGTTTTACTTTTAAATGAAATTGAAAGTGATTACATCTTTTTTAATCGAACGTATTCCCATTTAAAAGGTGGATCAGTGGCTTCGTATGGAGGGTACTTCATGGGGGCTTTGCCCCATTTGATTTTTAATTAATTTTTTCTATATTTTCATATTACTACGATACATGATACCGTGGTTAAAATTATTGCATATATTTCGAAATCACCCTGTATATGTACATAGATTTATATTTATAAACAATTTTATGAAATAATAAATTTTATGTGCCGCATAACATCGTCAAGTTCGTATACTTATATTTAATTTGTATACTTTAATGTTTCAATCTATAACCAATGACACACAGCCGTCTCTCTTGCGTTGACTTAAAATAAAATCGCCATCTTGTATATACCGTGTGATTTTTTAAGTTTCTGCTGTAGTTAATCATGGCGTGTACGTCAGTAGTGCAGCTGAAAGTAGAGGAGAAATTTAAAAATCACCCCATACTTAACACTTAGTTGTGTTAAACAGATCACCTGTTGACATACCATCACGTATCCACGTTTCAATTAAAGCATTAATGCTATGAAAACAATTTACTAGATACTTGGTTAGCGCCAATATAAAGACATCTTTGTTCAAAACCAATCTTAACTTAGAGCGGTAGCTCCAAAATGTCAATTTCAATGGGCTGCTTACATGCATTGATCTCGCGTTTTTTAGCAGAAACACTACATAAGCCGCATAAAATGCTACTGTGTTTATTCTTGTTTAATTCATTAATTTGATTCTTCTCTTTCGTAAGGACATATTTTTTACATATTCACAGGAACGTGGTTTGAAACCTATCTACTGGAGATGGATATCTAAGTGTAGGTTCCGGTGTAACGGAGATGGATGAGGGTGGGTTTGCACTGCCTATTAGCCAGAAATCCAGCTATTCGCTTAGAATAAAAGTGTGACTCTTCAAACTAGACAAAATATGTTATAAGGTTTTCAGTTAACGTTATCGGTATAGGCCTTCGGCCCTGAGAAGCGGCATGACTACAGCTCCTCACTCTCAACAAGTTTTCCACCTAACACCAGGAACTGCTGGATTTACTAAATTTTGCAAATAGAACACTTGTTAGATCTACCAGTACCCATTAAATGCAAGGACTTACGCGCCGCACACCTAAATAAGAACGCCTAATCCAACAAGAATATTTATGTCTTAAAAAGTCTAAATTTCTATGGAAAACGCAGTCTCCACGAGAAGTTACGAACTTTTCATATTTTCAAATAGGTTCGGTGACAGTTTCTCGCAAATTGCTATCCTCACCCACTGTAGCAATAGCAACAGCGGTAAGACCTATATATAGTTAACTCGATTATCTCATCTGACTTCACTTTATAGGAAAGGTTCAAGTCTTCGGACAGGAAGACCAGCGATATCTCCGATAGCATTACGACGCACCTAGTGGAAATGTAAGCAGTAAATCCATAATGTCTTACACCCCTCAATACATGTATTTGTTACAATTTTGATCTGTAGAGAACATGCAAAGTATTGCATATAGCGCTTCAAATTTTTGGTCAAAACGCTTTTAATGACTTAGAAAAAAATATATTTCGTCGTCGAAAAGTTGAAACGTCCTCTTTGTAAATATGTATATGACTATTTGAGATCAGTTTGAATATATGACATTTTACAAAATACTCTTGAGTTTAAACTTTAAACTTAGATAATAATTATCTTCTCAAAAAATGACATATTTCTTGCGTCTTATGTGACCTATAAATCATATAAATAGAGAGTGATAAATCATGTACATTATTATCCAGGTTAACTGTAGTATTGTTCTGGTTCTGGCTTGATTAGAAATCCTTTATTAGCATTATGTATGATATTAGAAAATGAAGTTGTATGGCTAATATTGGAATCATGACGGTTGTATTTTCTAATGAAATTGTGCTTTATATATACGGACTGAATATTATAATAACGGGATCCTAACCAGTTTTCAGGACAATACAAAATACACATATCTCATATGAAATTCTTTTTATAAATTTAATTTTATAAAATGTAAAAACATACTTCGCAATAATTCTGTTGTCAGTTTTCGAACTTGGAGAAGTTTCTAGTCTTCGCGAGCGATAACATTCAAGTCAGATACACTAACGATGAAAAGGTTGTTGTGATCTTAATTTTTGGAGAATGCGGAAAGAATGCTATTACAGCAACAACTCTGTACGCAAGAAGAAATCCCGCTAGGCAATATCCATTCAACAAAATCTTCAGAGACTTCGAGAAAACTATAGCACAAAATTGGTTGAAAGAAACAAGAAATTGAGAACGCACCGCTACTGGTACAAAAAATGAAATTCGCGTAATTGAAGCCGACAATGTGCCGCGTGTGACCAAATATTTATAGCGCAATAAGTGGGAACATCTCAATCTTCAGTTTCAAAAAATTTGAGAGCTAATAAATTCCACCCTTACCAGGTAA